TGGATGACGAACACAGGCCACTCGATATGATTAACATCACTCTTTTTCACTTCTTACTCAGTCAGCCAGAGTGCAGATATCACCATTAGATTAACAAACCTGAAACATCATCCATTTCTTCACTGCTGGTGATGACATTGTTGTCAGCTGCTGATACTGCTGCTGCTGCAGTATAAATGACAAACATAGTTTCGTGTTAGACTCTAACACAAAACTATGTTTGTCATTTATACTGTTTGTTTGTGTAGTTTTCACGGTGGATTCGGAGGAATACACCCGTTATGAGAAAGCCACTTGTGTCTGCCTGTGCTTCGAGGGAATTACAGTGAAAACTCGACTGTCCATCGACGCGAGTGTGTCTTAATTGACGAAGCGGCAACTTCAGAGGATCACGGACTGAGCACGAGGCTGTCTTCAAATGGCCGCCGGAGGAGGAGAAACTACGCATGCACACACAGAAGTGGACGACGCGCGCAAAGAACTTGGACACTAAGAAATCAAGAGTGATCTGAGTAAAGGGCTTCTGTAAAGGTTTGCTAAACCGTTATTACTGTGAGTGCCAACTATAGTAGTGTGTGTGGTTAGCGTTTTGACTTATTTGCTCATGTCATTTTATTAAGGCTTGTTAATTAAGGCGTAACGTTATTTCCAATTTCTAATTCAAAGTGTGTTTTTGGGAATAATAAGTGAAAGTTATTTAATTGAAGTTCTGAAGTCTTATTTTTGAGTATATTTTTGAAAGGTGTAAAGTTCAATTAAGCTGTTTTTTGCACATTTTCTATTTTAAGTGCATTTCTACCTCTATTGAAGTCTTATAGGGTACATTTAAGTCACACTTACATTTGAGTAAGTGTTGAAAGTTCATTAAAAGGTTTAACTGCATTTTGCTGTTTATAAAAGTGAGTCACTTTAAAATAGTGATTACTAATGTCTAAGTCTAGTGAGCCTACAATTCAGGTTAGGGAAAGTGCAGAGTCCCAAGACGAAGCTGTGGATAACACTGAAGCACAGCAGCTAAGAAGAGGTCAAAGAACTAAAACTCCTACAGAAAAGGGTAGAGAAATGCAAGAAGAACAAATGAAAACGCTCCTACAAAAGTTCAACTACAATTATGAGAAATGGAGAACACAAGTGAAAACAGCCAAGCGGCCATTATCTCAAACAACAGAGTCTGAAGTGATCTGAAGATTTGCTTAATGACATAATTCATGATGTCACAAGTTTGTCAGAAGATGTCCGACATGTTTATGAGGATCTGCGTACAATCTTAACTCCAGACCAGGACACGTGTCGAAGAGTGGATCTGTGTGCAGAGATTTCTAAGTTTGTCATCATCAGAGCCTCAAGTCTCCTGGATGGAAAGGTTCCAGAAGGAGAAAAGAAAGATTGGCCTGAAGCAGGTTCTCTCTTTAACTCAAGCACCTACACTTCTTCTTCGAAAAGCAACTCCAAGCAATCGAACCAGTCTTCTGCGAAACGACAAGAAGCTGCTGCTGAGGCTGCTGCAAGCCAAGCTGTTCTGAAAGTGTTACAAGAACAAGAAAGAGAACATTTGGAGATTCAGCGCCTGGAAGCAGAAGCTAAAAGAAAGATAGCTGATCAAGAGACGTCGTTTAGAAAGAGAATCAGAAGAGTTAAGACATCGTTCAGAAAGAGAGGAAGAGGAAGCTACAATTAAAGCTCGTCTAGAAGAAGAGCATGTAGCTCTACAACAGACTCTGGATGACAAACGGAGAAAAATACAGCATTTGGAAGCAGTAAAATATTTCAATGCAGCACGAGCAAGAATGCAAGTGTATGACCAAGAAGAGTCCATTAGAGAAGAATGGAAAGACGTGCTAGAGAGGGATCTGGTAAGTAACCCAGTGCCTGCTCCCACAAGTCCTCAACGACAGGTTGTCACTACTTCCTCAAGTGGAAGTACAGCAGAGCTTGTTAAGGTGCTAGCTGGTGCCTTAACTGCCAACAGAATTCCAGTTCCTGAACCTTCAGTATTCAGTGGGGATGCATTGAAATACAATGACTGGAAACTTTCATTTGAAATACTGATTGACCAGAAGAACATCCTAGACAAAGAAAATATATACTACTTAAGGAGATATGTTAGTGGACAAGCTAAGAAAGCACTTGATGGATATTTCCTGCTCGGAACCAAATCTGCCTATGTTGCAGCATGGGAGATTTTGGAGGAGAGATATGGGAATCCATTTACAATTGCAAAAGCCTATAGAGACAAGCTTCAATCGTGGCCCAAGATAGGATCTAAGGACTGCTTTGAGCTCAGAGATTTTGCAGACTTTCTCCGTAGTTGCGAGGCTGCCATGGTCCATATCAAGGCATTAGAAATCTTGAATGACTGTAATGAAAACAGGCAAATACTTTAAAAATGACCAGATTGGCTAACTGCAAGCTGGAATCGGAAGGTTACTGAAGTCCAAGAAGACAGTAAACAATTTCCCTCCTTCAGCCAATTTGTAAGGTTTTTGACAAGAGAAGCAAAGATTGCCTGTAACCCTGTCACATCATTGCAATCACTGAAGCAAGGTGAAGCTGAAAACACCAAATCTCAAAGACAACAAAGCTTTGCAGCAAAGACACTGACCACAAGTTCAGACGAAAACACCGTCTTAACATGTATTCTCTGTAAGAAGAATTGGCATTCCTTGCACAATTGCAGGAAGTTCATGGAGCAAGCTGTTCCAGACAGAATCAAGTACATTCAAGCTCAGAAGCTATGCTTTGGATGTCTCGAGACTGGCCATCAGTCAAGGAGCTGCCACAGTAGGAGTGTATGTGAAGTATGCAAGAAGCAACATCCTACCTGTCTGCATGAAGAGCGCACAAATCGAGAAAGATACAAAGAAAGACTTCAACCAACACAACAAGAAGAAAGAACCACAGCGGCTATTTCCAACAGAGTAATACTTGGTGAAGGTAATACAGAAACAGCTGCTATAATTCCAGTCTGGCTTTCATCCACATGTCAACCAGCAGAAAAATCCATGTATATGCTCTGTTAGATTCTCAAAGTGACACAACATTTGTGCTAAGTGAAGTAGCTGAGGCTTTGGAAGCAAGTAAACAACAATTCAAGCTCAATCTATCTACTATGACCTCAAGAACCACAGTTGTAAGCGCTCAAAGAGTGAACAACCTACAAGTCAGAGGCTTTTACTCCGGTAAAAAGATTCCCTTACCACCAGTCTATACACGTGACTTCATTCCAGCCAACAGAACTCATATACCAACAGATGAAACTGCAAAAGCTTGGTCTCATCTAGAGCACCTCCAACAAGAGATTGCACCTCTGCAAGACTGTGAAGTGGGTCTGCTCATAGGGTACAACTGCTCACAAGCTTTACTTCCAATAGAAGTTGTGTCTGGCAAAGAAAATCAACCTTACGCACAACGTATAGACCTTGGATGGAGTATTGTTGGAAACAGGAATCCCTGTCTAGATTATGGAGACGCCATCGCATAGTAGTAAGACAAGTGACACCAGGTGTAGAACCTTTTCTCAGTCTCAAAACTGAAGTACACTATGTGAGCCGAACCAAAGTTAAAAACAATCCAGCAGATCATGCCTCTCGAGTTTTAACTGCAGAGACACTGAAGACTTCAAACTGGTTCACAGGACCAACGTTTCTTTGGCAAAAGGACCTACCTGTAAGAGAATGCAAGGTGGGAGAAATCAATGAGAATGATCCTGAACTTCGCAAAGAAGACGGGTCATTATTGGATCGCTTACAGAAATGCTGATTGGTCAAGAGCAGTTGCAAGACTGAAACGACATGCCAAAGAACACCAAGGTGTGAAACAAAGAACCAATGAATGTACAACCATTCAAAGGCGAAAGACCAAAGTTACCTGACAACAAGACGTGCGCAGTACACTACCTAAATTGTCTTGAAAGAAGACTAAATAAGTCTTTCCAGGGTCAGATAGTAGGGTCAGAAAACTTAAATTACTGGTTAGCCAAACCACATTTGACAAAAAGGGGAAACCCATAATTAGGACTGTGTTCCTTGAAAGACCTGTACACAAGGTTGTTACTCTGCTTGAGGCAGAATAAGGTGTTTAATGTGTTGCATGAGATTCCATCCATCCATCCATCCATCTTCTTCCGCTTATCCGTGGTCGGGTCGCGGGGGTAGCAGTTCCAGCAGAGAGCCCCAAACTTTCTTTTCCCTGGCGACATCAACCAGCTCTGACTGGGGGATCCCAAGGCGCTCCCAGGCCAGCGAAGAGATATAATCCCTCCACCTGGTCCTAGGTCTACCCCTTGGTCTCTTCCCAGCTGGACGTGCCTGGAACACCTCCCTAGGGAGGCGCCCAGGTGGCATCCTAACTAGGTGCCCGAACCACCTCAACTGGCTCCTTTCGACGCGAAGGAGGAGCGGCTCAACTCCGAGTCCCTCCCTGATGACCGAACTTCTCACCTTATCCCTAAGAGAGACACCAGCCACCCTGCGGAGAAAACCCATCTCGGCCGCTTGTATCCGATTGTATGAGATTCCATGTTAAGTTGTTATCTACAGGTAATGTCTATTTCAAAGGGTAAAGCGTTTACTTTGTACAAACAATCTTTTGTGTTCCTAAAGTGAGCCCTGCACCTGTGAACAGTGACCTAGCACAATCACAGAATCCAGAAGTAGAAACACGGGTCAGTGTACAAGTCACGATGATAATACTCAACTTTTGATGGTGGTAGACATCTTCACAATGTTTTAAGTTGAGTCCATCTGGACCACATTACACAAATAAAACATGTCAGTACTGGAATTGTGAGCTGTTGATTAAAATGGCGGGCTTTGCCGTAGTACTTTATCGATAAACTGTTCCCCTACTTTCTTGTTCACAACTACCTTATTTGCTGGGGAATGACCATTGCTGCTATGGATATACATTTCAGCACTGTTTAACAATTTTAAATCACTTCCAGTACTGGTATGAAAGTGAATGTACCAATTGTCAGTACAGTGTTTTGTCTGTGCTCTTACCTCCCTGGAGTTGAGCACAGCATTTTTTTCCCGGGCCTCAGACTTGAGCTGAGCAGATTCGGGCTGGAGCTCCTGGACTTGTTGTGTGATTCCTTCCAACCTTTCCTCGATCTGTCTGTATTTCCCCCAGTCTCTTCGGCCTTATTCTGCATCATGACATAAAAACAGATCAGAGAAATAGGGCGATTAAAAAGTGAGAGGACAGAAGATTGCTTCGCATGGACAAGTACAAAGTTGCGGTGTTCATGTTTAAACAGAAGCTTTTTAATTGAAATCACTCAAGATCACACAACTGATTCTGCGGTGAATAATACAGAAATATCCTACCTTCCATTCTTCCACCTTCGCATCGTATTTCTCCGTAGAATGTCTGTCTAATTGCAGCTTCTCCTTCAATGGCTTCAACTCGTTCTCCATATCTTGCACCTGCAAAATGAAGTCACTCCAAAATATTAGCTAGATGAATTACCCTTTAAAAAAGAATTGCTTATATCCCAGAGTCCCGGGATACTGAATAAAGGGGGTTGGGAATTCAAAACTGGGAGAAATGATCTCACCAAAACCCAAGCCATTTGATTCTGTAACTCCTCTAGTTTGGTCTCCATTTCATCCAATGATGACAGGTTCTTGAAACGCTCCTCTTTCTCCAGGTACTTCTGCTTCAAGTCTTGCAAGTACTGTAACAGTCATGTAACAATATAAATGGTAATATATATATATATATATATATTGCTGGTCAAATAGAGTAGTAGACCAACCAAACAAAGTTGTACAAATTATTAACAGTATAGGACTGCTTCAATATAGTTAACTCCTCTCACATGGTCCTTTGAGACATTGTGAATTATTGGTTATAGCTGCATATTATACGAGTCAATCAAACTTTTTCTTACTTGACCATGTTGCTCAACTTTTTCTTCTGTGATACGCTTGGTGGTTTTGATGTGCACAAAGTCCTCTCTCATCTGGTCCAATTGGGTAGATTTCATGAAAAACTGAAAGAGGAATGAAATAAAAACAAAAGTGGAGAAATCAAGATCACAAAAACTAAATGATAAAACATTGTTATTTAAAAAAAAAAAAGTCTTATTTATTACCTTGTACTTGTCCCCTTCCCCTTTGGAATGTAGGAAGTATTTGCTCATGTCTTGAGTGAGAACAGAGACAGGGTTGTTGACCTTTGAAAGACCCAGTAACATGGTTATCGTACAGGATTTACATTTTGTTGAAGTTCAACATTGCATTGTGTAAGATTTGCATAGCTCCTACCTGTATGTTAAAATTGTCCAGGATAGAGAGCAACTCTTCCTTTTTGGTTGAGACAATTTGACCTGTAAGAAGAAAAATAATCTTTATGAATATCTTATAATATAGACTGAAGCTGCTTACGGTAGTATTTTACTTGGTAATATTGAAACACGTTTCATTTTCCTTTGTTTTTGCACCTTGTTCCTATACATGTTGTTGTAGCAGATCAATGTACAGTAGCAGCAGTATCTTCAAAAAAATACTAATTTTTAGAATGAGTCATCTTTACCAGATTTGCTCCTCAGTTTATAGGTTCTCAACCCCTCGCGTGTTATTCTCAGGTCTACAGTGATAGCTGGGCCGTACACCTCAAATTTGAAGGCGTCCCTTCCTTTGTTTCGCAGGGTGATCGAAACATCAGCCGAACTGAGGAAAGAGAGTATAACCAGTGCATGACATTAAGGATTTTGGGAGATGGCCCTGTGGGCCATCTAAGCTAATTTACAGATGGCCCTGCGCCCAATAAAGATTGCCCTGAAAAATGCGTGCGGACGAAATGACGCACGAAGGGCCTCCCCCTAGAACATTTTGATTTTTGCAGGTCTTAGATGCTGTCTGGTGCATTCTCTAGACTGAATTATAAGATGAACCACCACAATATTATATTGTACAATTCAATTTTTTCTTCATTTCACTTGTTTGTTTGTTCTTGTTTGTGTTTGCTCGCTTGCATGCCCTGCATAGCTATAAGAAATACTTAAGTTGTTGGTCAAGACACTTTCCATTTGATGAAGGCAAATGCCTTCCCAGATGTAAAAAAGTAGAAAACATTACATTCAGTTATAACTGCCAAAACAAACATTATTTACACTATTATGGCTCCTGTTAAAAATGTTTGTAATGTTATCTACTGTAAGTTAAGTTGGTCGAACGAATGCCTCCTCAGCTGGAAGCTGACCGAGCAGACCCGAGCAGCAGTCGAGAGGAGCCGAGCGCATCCGCGAAGCACACAAAATGTGTTCCCGTTAGCCGGCAAATCTAAATCTCTTTGGTCAAAATGTCCGGTCAAAATAATTTCCCTTTAGCGCAATACCGCTTCAGTTGCGCCACTTATGTGACAGACAAGAAGAGTATGTGACAGACAAGAATAGTCCATTCTAATGTCTAACACTTAATGTGGAGAAAGAGATGTCCTGTATGGGTTGATTGTGCGTTGATCTGTTGGTAATGCCTCGGGGTTCCGGTGGGCATGTAAACAAATGCATAATGCTGCGCTATACTTTGTGGCCTCACCCAGTTGCATAGCAACTTCATTGCCCGAGCTAAATACTAGATGGCCCCGGGCCATCGGACAGTCGTTAATGTCGAGCCCTGGTAACGGACATTACACCTACGTGAATCAAGGGATGCAACTTTTAATTAAGGGTACTTTTGCATGCGACGTTATGAAAAATGTCATATGTGACATGAGTAGACAAAATACATTTGATGTGGTATGATATGTGTGGTGCTATAGAGCAAATTCATGGAATATTTGTTTATACTAGAATTTCTGGACATTGGGGGATGCGGGCGAGAAGAGTAAATGATTTATACCTTTCTCCTTCCTTTACAAATCCTTTGAGGGACAATCGTCTGTTGGTGGCATGTGCATTACCGCCTAGGGTAACTATGAGAGCTGTCAGAACGGCACTCTTTCCACCTGTCACACAAGCAGTAAAACATGTTTTAGACACTTTCAAAAGCAAGAACATAATGGAAGATAAGACACAAGAGAACAGAGTGTGTTGCTTGAGTTGAAATACATGATTTAGGTTCAAGCCATTACAAAGATTTAGGGCAAAGTAGATAATTCATTATATGCATATCATAGGTTTACAGAAATACGTCTGATTTTCATGAATACAAGAGAGCAGACAGTGTTAAACATATTGTATTATTAATGTACAGAAAGACAAGCTACATCCACCACAAACGATTATATTAAACTGTTTAATATCGATTAGTGTGGAGATGATGCAACTCAATTCACTTGCTCATCATTCATAATCTTGCTAACATATGTCTGGTATGATTGTGAACTACATAAACAAACTTAAAGTATTCCAACTAAATTATAGATGAGTCAAGATAGTCAGCACTTCTTGGCAACTAATAAACAGTTCACAACAATGAGTATTTAACTTGTATTTCACTTACTTCCATTGTTGCCAACAACAAAGTTCACATTTGAACCAAAAGTGAATGGGCCGAGGTGAGAGTGGCACATGAAGTTCTTCAGTGTGATGCTCTCCACAATCCCTGCATCACTCGCCACCTCACTCACACCCTGCACCTAAACACAGGGGAGCTGGGCATGTCATTTCCCACTAATACATCTCATGCATAGTCATATACAGTGATGCAAACACAGGTATGGTGAAAAAAGAGAGAACTATTCGAAGCAACAACAAAAAACAGCGTAATAAACCATCTGACAAAGGCCTGTGCTATAATGCTTCAATTAACTGGCTATTCTTTATAAATACTCAGATCAATAGGAGACGGAGATGTTAAGTTATAAATCAAGGGTTTTTATTATTATTTACAGGTAGATATTATACACTTTTGACTTTAAAGAGCCTGTGACACGAGTTTCCCCCATCATCCAAACCCATCCATTTGAGTAAATATTGTCCCCTTGAAAACCGTTACTGAACTGATTTTGGATATTTGTACTTTGATAACCATTAATCTGCCCTTCAATGTTGATCATTGTCTGGATCTTCTCGGGAATTCTTCAAGTCCTGCCAAATTATGTGTGACGTCATTGCGGGCACAGCGCTCCAGCTGCACCGTTCAGGATCCCAGCATCTGCATGTAAACGCACGATGGCGCACACAGCAGCAAGCTCAGACAGAGATGACAGTTTAATTTTGAACGTGTCTGAGAGCTCATATGAGGCTGAAGGATCGGTTTATGTTGTATCTGTTAGAAGTTTAGGAATTAGGTGCGTCAATATGGGCGATCATACGGTCATGTAGCCAGTGGTGGACTGGGACTAAAAATCATCCCGGGACTCTCGACCGGCCCACTTCGGTACCGCTAGTAAATTGTCAACGGGGGGAGTGGGGGATGTCAGGGGCGGCGGGTGCTGTAGGCTAGGGAAGGCTAAGCCTTCCCAAATATTTGTGTCACTGCATCCTGGTAAAATACAAATATAATGTCTGTGTCTTTGACATTAGCGCTGCTAGCCACCTGTGCCCTGTACTACGAAGCCAGTTCAACATACCCTGGATATGTTTGAGTAACAAACTAACAACAACAAACTAACAAAACGAGATCTCGCTAAGCGGTCCTACGACGCTGGTTATCAACTCGGTAAATCAAGCCAGGGTTTCTCTCACCAGCTGAGAGCGCGTTCACGTGAAAGGGGCGGGGTTAGCTACATTTGACCAATCACAAACAGGGACAAATGTACTGACAGCGCAGCGTCATACTTCATTAATGAAAAGTACACTAATATTAGACAAATATGAGCTTTAAACATCCATGACTTAAACATATAATCCAGGATACAAGCCACAGAGTTGCACCTGCAAGGTGAATACAGAACAACTGGTTAAAAAATAACTAGGCCTACCGAGTGTTTGAAAGCGTATAGTTTTATGATATCACTGCCCCATCTAAGACACGAGTGGATCTGACTTTAATTACATTTGACTCGAGTGTTTCGTCAACATAATGTGTTGCTTAAAATAATACTTCTGCATACAGTATGTGACACTGTAAGTGTTGCACGGCCAGATACGGCTGGAGAAGCTGACTCAGATAAGGAAATATATGATATATTATATGATCTGATTGATGATGTAATATGAATGATAAGTGCGACACGTTGGCGTCTTCTCTGCATAAGGCAATTTAAACTGTATTTCCTTTATCCTGTAATATGACTTGAGAGATTTAAACTCCGCACACTGAGTTGATCTCTTTTCTATCTTTTTCTATCGGAGTCGGGCAGCGTCAGGTAAAAAAAGTTATTTAGCCTTCCCAAACCTGAGCCTCACGCGCCGCCTATGGGCGATGTGCTAGTGACTTATCCGACGGCCCACTTCGGTACCGGCCCATCGGGATTCGTCCCGATGGTCAGTCCGCCACTGCACCCAGCCCACGTAAACTGTCAACGGGGGAGCCTCGCTGCAGGGAAACGGTGGACCTAGTGTCCCGATCGGAGTGGGAATAATAATAATAATAATAATAATAATCCGTGCATTTTATCCATTAATTTCCCCAACATTGTGGTAAAAAAAAACACACGTTTAATCCATGTTGGTGTACTACAACTACAAAAAGCATCGGTTTGTTTTCTCATCAGGAAATGCAGACCGGCTCAAACAAACAATTTTTATTCATCATCCTCACGATCATTTAATGTATCATATGTTCGCCGAATTGACATGAAAGCACTAATAAATGTAGTTTCATCCACTTGAGTTTACAACTACAAAAATAATCGATTTGTTTTTATATCACATCCGACGGGAGGAAATTCAGCAGCTCTCACTACCGATTTTTAATCCTAATTTAATCATCATCTTCACCACGATCATTTATGTTTATGTTCGCCGAATTGACATGAAAGCACTGACAAATATGAATATACTGTAGTGAACTTCATTAAAACGTTATTAACGTGCCTAAACTCAGTAATTCACCATTTCTACGCATGACAACACACTTTGTCCGTGTTTGGCTCTCTCGCCGCACAGTGAAGCGGTCCCGCATTGACGTCACTTCCGGCTTCCCCCAAAACTTAAAAATAAGTCGAAGGAATTTCCCCGCGATGTTCGAAATTATTGATATTTATCGGAACGGTATCGCAACTTCTTTTTTAAACTGACGGTTTGAGATGACTAGTAGCCGAATATTTCATTGCACAACAGTTGTTGGGATACTGTCACAGGCTCTTTAAGGGCTTCAGTTTTTCTTCTTCTCCTTTGCTTGCGAAAGTGTTTCTACTGCTTTACGTCTGCTTTACTAACTGCTTTCCACAACCGACTGGTGCTGCTGCTGCGTCATGACGCAACTCAGTCTCACGGCATTTCGTGTTCACCAACACGATTTTTAATCTATTGATTCGTGTTCACCAACACGATTTGCCCCTTTTTTTCGTGTTGCACAGCACGATTTTAAAAGCAATGTATTTCTACTTCCTGCAGCACGTCTTTTTCTCCGGTCGGGTTGAGGAAGACCGGAAGCTGTGTGGTTCATAAAAACATGTTCTTACATGTGTTTTTCTGGATTTTTTTTCTCATTTTGTCTCTCATAGTTGAGGTATACCAGATGAAAATTACAGGCCTCTCTCATCTCTTTTTTGCCCCACTGTATATATTCATATATCATATCAATGTTTGATGTGCCATAATAGGTGTGGTCATCATTCCTGACATTAACAGCTGGAGGCATACTCCTTGACGTGGATTTCCTCCTTTTCGGCTTAGACCGATGTATAAATACTGTTGGAACAGCATCTGGCCTCAACCTCAAATTTCCTCCTGATTTGTTGCCAATATATTGGTCGTCTTCAAAGTGTACCTGTAGGTAGGTAGGTTTGATCAGTTTCCACTGCACACTTCAAATGTCATTGAAGAGTCATAATTCTCTACACTTGGAAAATGTTAAGTCATGTCACCTCTGTGAACATTACTTACATGACAGAGTTTTCTGCTGTTGTTGTCCTCTGTCAGACACAGGTTTTGTCTGTTGACCATTGCCATCCATCTCTTCCTTCGCTCTATGTCCTTAGGGAAGCCATTAGGGCTGTACCCGAATATTCGTACGTTAGCCAACTATTCGGGTTTTAATTTTATTATTCGGATATTCGTTTGTTTTTGTTTTTTCCTAAATGTATGCTATCAATAAAGGCGAATTGCCATATTCTTATACTATATTTATACTTTTGAATTGCACTGTTAAAATGCGGAAATATATACAATCTCAGCCTGTGCTCCTGACATCGCGTTCACTCACAGTCACAAACGGCACGCTTCACCTCGCTTCACACACCTGAACATAAAATGCCGAAGACTTCAGCTGTGTGGGACCATTTTAAATTGGACGACTGTGTTCAGGTGCCTAGGGAGGTGTTCCAGGCACGTCCAGCTGGGAAGAGACCAAGGGGTAGACCTAGGACCAGGTGGAGGGATTATATCTCTTCGCTGGCCTGGGAGCGCCTTGGGATCCCCCAGTCAGAGCTGGTTGATGTCGCCAGGGAAAAGAAAGTTTGGGGCTCTCTGCTGGAACTGCTACCCCCGCGACCCGACCACGGATAAGCGGGAGAAGATGGATGGATGGTGTTCAGGTGCTCCTTTGAGAACCAGGGCAAAAAAGTTATGTGCACCCCTGAATATAAATCGTAATAGTATGCTCTTTCTGCGCTTCTGCTTAACAGCGTGTTGTCAGGTGTCGGAGCGTGTTATGACATTTTTTATTAAAAAATAAAAAAATCTCTCCGCACCGAATATTCGCTGCTGATTACTACCGAATATCCGGAGCCCGAAAAATGGTATTCGGGACAGCCCTAGAAGCCATACATCCGGAACCCCTTCTCGGATCGATTAGAGCAGGGGTGGGGAACCTCCGGCCCCGGGCCGTATACGGCCTGCGAGACCATTTGGTATGGCCCCCGAGGTAATTTATAAACACACGCAAAAAATAAAAAAATTAAAGAAATCTAGACCGCAAAATAATTAAACAAGCGAGTGCCTGTTTTTCCTGGCAACGGTCATGGTCCTTGAACACAACACGAGCCTAACGCGTCATCACGTGGTATATGTCTCGTCTGACAGGGGTGCAATTCTGACGGAGAGTATGGAGACAGATTTGGGTCAATATTCTAGCGCGTAAAACAAGCTACTCACGAGCGGAAAATGTGCTTTTACACGCGCATAAAATGACCCTCGCGCGCATATTAAACCCCCGCGAGCGGCTCTGCGCGCGTGAAAAGTTTCTGGCACTTTGGGGCGGAGCCACTGGACTTTGATTGACAGCTGCCAGGAAACCCGGAGTTGCCAGGTTTGATAAATGCCTAAACTACCAAGAGCCGAGGAGTGACGGCAGCAAAATCAGTTGAACGAGATTGAATGGTCAAAGTTGTCCATAAAAAACTATTATATTCGAAAGTGTACGCGCTCGCGGGGGTTTAATCTGCGCGCGAGAGTCATTTTATGCGCGTGTAAAAGCACATTTTCCGCTCGTGAGTAGCTTGTTTTACGCGCTAGAATATTGACCCAAATCTGACTCCATAGGGAGCACCAGAACGCCGCTCCGGGACTTCAAAAAATTGCAGTACCC